ATATATATATATATATATATATATATATATATATTGGACCAGATTGACAATACTTGCTTCTGACCACTTTTATATTTTATATTTTGTTTTTTTGTTTTTGTTATTTATCTGATTTTATCTCTATAATAGATAACACGTCATGACCATGTGTTATCTCCTCAAACAACCCACCGCCCATACACACTTTTCTTGATGTTCCCCACCGCTTCCTATTCTATAATCCAACAATCTACTAACTGCCATCCATTCTTATCTGCATCATCACACCAACAAAATGGATGAAATATAAGTTCAGATCGTGTCGGATCATCGATTGATGCTTATGTGTAACCATAGTTTGGTGAACTTTACCATTTTCATTTAGTATCCACAGAAATACAAGATCAAATCTTCGGATTTAAACAAGTTATACTCAAGAACAGATCAATAGCTGTGTGCGTGTGTTGAAAACAGAAATCGGAAAAATGGTCGGTCGGAGACACTTACTGTTGCTATTAATCAAACCGTGTGTTATTATTGATTATCTCAAAGATACGATACATATGAACCTAATATATATAGGTTAGATAAATACAATTAGGTACCCTCTAATTTAAGTAAAATACAATGCAACACATAAACTTAGTCTAACATTCCCCCGCAAGCTAAGGACGGGGAACGACCTGTAGCTTGGAGCGTAAAAAGAGAAATCTTTGAGAAGACAAAGGTTTGGTAAAAACATCAGCGATCTGATCAGCAGTAGAAATGAACTGAACACATAATTGACAAGAAGCCACACGTTCACGAACAAAGTGAAAATCCACTTCAACATGTTTGGTGCGAGCATGAAAAACCGGATTAGCAGCTAGATAGGTAGCACCAAGATTGTCACACCAAAGTGTAGGACGTTGAACTGTAACTCCCAATTCATGGAGAAGAGCTTTCAACCAGACTAATTCAGCCACCGTATCTGCAAGGGCTTTGTACTCCGACTCGGTTGAAGATCTTGAGACAGTACGCTGTTTGCGGGCAGTCCATGAGATCAAGTTCGATCCCAAATATATAGCAAATCCTCCCGTGGAACGTCGATCATCAGGGCATCCTGCCCAGTCTGAATCCGAGAAGGCATGTAAAGAATCAAATGTAGAGTATTGCCAATGAACATCCGTAAAGGCTTGGAGAGAGGAACCCGAATCATGCCTAATGAGAAGTCCAAAATCAGTCGTGCCCTGTAAGTACCGCAAGATACATTTGACAGCGGACCAATGGTTTTCGGTAGGAGCATGCATGAATTGACACACTTTGTTGACGGCATAAGCAATGTCAGGACGAGAGATACTAGCATACTGAAGAGCTCCAACAAGTTGTCTATAGATAGTCGGATCTGGCAAGAGAGGACTGTCACCAATAGATAAGACCTGAGTGGTGGTCATTGGAGATTGGACCGGTTTGCAATCCTTGAGACCCGAACGATGAAGAATATCCAAAATATACTTCCATTGGGACAATATGAGGTTAGAATTACGAGAAACGACCTCAATGCCCAAGAAGTAATGCAGTTGACCAAGGTCTTTAATGGAAAAAGTAGAACCCAACTGTTGAATGAGGTGAGCAATCATCGCATCATTATTACCAGTAATAATGATATCATCCACGTAGACTAGAATGTAAATTCGAGTCCGACCTGTTTTCAGAATAAATAAAGATGGGTCAGTGCGAGACCCCGAAAAACCAAAGCGATGCAACACAGTGGACAAGCGTTGAAACCAAGCTCGTGGAGCTTGCTTGAGACCATACAAAGACTTGTGAAGAAGGCACACATGACCAGGTTTAGAAGGATCAACAAATCCTTGTGGCTGCCGAATGTAAACGGTTTCTTTTAAGTCACCATGCAAAAATGCATTCTGAACATCCAATTGCCTGATTGACCATTTTTGAGTTACAGCAAGAGAGAGGACAACCCGAATTGTGGTGGCTTTGATCACAGGACTAAAAGTTTCATGATAGTCAACACCCGCTTGTTGTTTGAAACCCTTTGCTACAAGTCGTGCTTTGTAGCGAGAAATATTGCCCTCGGGGTCTCGCTTAAGTTTATAAACCCATTTGGAATCTATGATGTTGGCATGAGGAACTGGAGGGACAAGAGTCCAAGTACCATTTTTGATAAGAGCAGTGTATTCCTCTGACATGGCATTCCGCCATTCCTGAGATTTGCTCGCAACCGAAAATGAGGTAGGTTCGGTAATAGAAGCAGTAGCATGATATGCCGAGGGGCTATAAGGTGTAGTCCGTTTCGGGTTGGGGCGTAAATGTGGGGGACGGGTGCGTGGAGGAGGAGGTGGCGTGGCATCAGGAGAGGTATCAAACGACTCAGTCGAGGTAGTTTCTGTGGTGATAGGTGGCGATGCTGCCAAAGGAGTAGTTATAGGAGATGCAGGAGGTGTGGTTGGAGGTGAGTCGTCAATAGTAGTAGTAGAAGTAGGATCGGGTATAAAACTTGGGAGAGATGAAACATACGTAGCGGCAGGAGTGGTACTAGGAGGAGGTGGGCGTTTGAACGGAAAAACATTCTCATTAAATCGAACATGGCGAGCAATGTAGATTCGATCCGTAGAGGTGTCAAGGCATCGGTAACCATGGTGTAGTGGGCTATAACCAAGAAATGTACAAGGAGCAGAGCGGAAATCCATTTTGTATCTATTGTACGGGCGAAGGTGTGGAAAACATTCACATCCAAAAACCCGAAGAAAGGTGTAGTCAGGTTTTCGACTGAAGACATGTTGGTAAGGTGATCTATTGGATGAGGTTCGAGATGGTAAGCGATTGATAAGATACACGGCTGTCTCAAAAGCAAACTGCCAAAATCGTTGGGGAAGATTGGCATGAGCAAGGAGAGTAAGGCCAGTTTCAACCACGTGACGATGACGTCGCTCAACAAAACCATTTTGCTCGCTAGTATGAGGGCATGAGCGACGATGAATGATCCCAAGTGATGAGAAAAAGGAAGATAGATTGCGAAATTCCCCTCCCCAATCGGTTTGAACACTTTTGAGTTTGGTATTGAATTGTCGTTCTACCATCTTGACAAAGTTAGTGAAAGTTTGAAAAACATCAGATTTATGTGTCAATGGGAAAAACCACATATAGCGAGAGTGATGATCAACACAAAGTAAAAAGAACCGACAACCATAAAATGATAAAGTAGGTGAGGGACCCCAAACATCACAATAAATTAAATCTAAAATATTATTGCTTCGAAAAGATGAACTAGGTAAAGAAAGTTTGGAAGATTTTCCTAACTGACAAGCAGAACATAAATCTAAACAATGTTTTGTAGAAACAGGAAGCGAACAACTAGAAACAATAGTGTCAAAAACACGTTGATGTGGATGACCAAGGCGGTGGTGCCAGATTCTTGAGGAAGCTTTAGTTGTTGTGAGAGCCAACTTTGTTAAAGACTTGAAACTTGGAAGATGAAGCGAGTAGAGACCGTTATTACTTGGTCCCATGAGAAGAGTGGTGCGAGTACGTTCGTCCTTCATAACAAAGAAAGAGGAGTGAAATTCAAAGAAAACATTGTTGTCTTGACAAAATTGTTGAACAGATAAGAGATTTTTCTTGACATTAGGAACATGAAGAATATTGGAAAGATTAAAGGTTTTATTAGATGAATAACATTTTGAGGATCCAATATGAAGAATAGGAAGAGAGTTACCATCACCAACATGAAGAGAATCAGGACCACGATAGAACTCGGAGGTGTCAAGGTTGGACAGATCTGGTGTGGTGTGGGAGTTTGCACCTGTGTCAGGGAACCAAGTAGTGCCGGAAGTAGAGACATTGTCAGCAAAGGTTGCGAAATTTGCCTGCAAATTCGGTTTTGACGAGTTACTTGCATCTTGGTTATTTGGACACTGGGATGGAAGATGGCCAATACCACAACGGTTGCAATGACCAAATACAGTGTTTTGTGTGGAGGCCCAAGAGAATTTCCTGGAGGGACCTGAGTTGGCACCATGAGATCGATTCTGAAAATTCCAACGTGAATTATTCCCACGCGAGTTTCCTCAACGATTTCCTCTGTAGTTGTTGTTTGGGGGCCGTGAGGCATAGAAAGCTTGAGGAGTTGCACTTTGTGGAGCAATCGGATTAAGTTGGAAGCCAAGCTGGGACGCCATGCTTTGTAGAGACTGAAGTTGGCTTTGAAAATTGTTAATGTTGAGTGATGTTTCTGTTGAAGCAGCAAACACATGTGGCTGTGATGCAGGGGCAGCAGTAAGATTTTTATTTATCATATAATCATGATCACTCAAAAGGGCATGTAGCTCAATGAAGGTAACAGGTGGGTGACGACGAGCTAAGAGGGTAGACTTGAGTCCGTTATACTCTTCACGTAGCCCAGAAATAACAAGAAGAACCAGATCCTTGTCTTTAACAGGTTCACCAATATTAGCAAGTGCAGTAGCATATTCTTGTGCACGTGCAAGATAGACAAGAGGAGTTTCATCGCCTTTCATGGTGAGTTTTAGCAACTGGGTTTTTAATGTATACTCTCTTGAAGAATTGGTTGGGGCATAAACACGTTCTAATTGTAGCCATAGATCTCGTGAGGTAGTACCCTGAACATGCTGGAAGGAAGCCTTTGAGATGGTAGAGATGATTATCATACGGACATGAGCATCATTAGAAATCCAACGAGAGTAACTAGGATTGTCTGTAATTGTCTCTCCTGTGCCGACTTTGGGCTCAGGGCATGGTATTGTACCATCGACATAACCGAACAGATTGTTGGAGACGAGAAAGGGTTTTAGCATGGCCTTCCAATACCCATAGTTTGTGGGTGTGAGGGTAAAAGCGAATTTATGAGAATTATGAGAAGTTTTCTCCTGTGTAGTGAAAGCAGCAATGGTCGCCATGAAGTTTCTTGACAGATCAGTGATTAGGGTTTATCTTGCGTAAGAGGCTGTTGTGAGGATGCCGCCGATAAGGTAAAGATTAACTTGGCTCTGATACCAAATCAAACCGTGTGTTATTATTGATTATCTCAAAGATACGATACATATGAACCTAATATATATAGGTTAGATAAATACAATTAGGTACCCTCTAATTTAAGTAAAATACAATGCAACACATAAACTTAGTCTACCACAACCGGTGGAACATGAATCAAGGTCGCAATTGCATCACTTCAGTTGCAGAACACAGTCCACCGCCTGAATTTCTTCCCAAACTTCTTTCACCTTCTTCAGAGATCTCAAATACAGGTCGTCAGACTTTGTACCGCTTCTTCATACCATCTGCACAAAATCGATTCATAGTTCTTATGGAAAAAAAAACCCTTGGTATTGAAGTTAGGAGTAGAAATAGACACCTTTGTGCTGGCAATCATGTGTTAGAGTACCTGCAACCATCGTGGGAGAGGTCGGTATGTGCTAGGGTTCAATTTAGGGGATTATGTTTGTTTCTTCACAAAGAACCCAATAACAACACCACCGATACTACTATTGGAATCGTCGACGTTCGATTGCAGTTCGTTTCCTCTATGATTTCCACATACACTAAAGCAGCTACCTTCCGGTCACCATCCCAGCCAGAATTAATTGACAACAGGTCTGGAATGGCTTCAACTAAAAAACCTTATATAAATAGAAATAAAGAACTGCTACTTTACCCATTTCTTCGTGTTTTTTTGTTGCCAAGTTTTACAATTTCGTTTGGTTTTTTTCAGTATACATCTATTAAAGCTTGGAAATAAGTGAAAAGGAACCAGGACGATCGGTATCAACGCCACAAACCCAGGGTATGGATGGGCATGAATGTTGAGAAGGTATTTGGTTGATCCATTGGAGATGTGGTGGCCAGCAAACCTACCTCAGGTTTCGCTCTTTAGTTCAGTAACATTTTATTTTAATATTTACAATTAGTTAGTTACTATTTTATAATAATTAATGATTAATCAATGAATGTATGCATATTCTACTTTATAGCATATTCCACATCGTGAAATAATTTTACTTTTTTTATAGCATTGTATGTTCTATCCAAAAAGACGCAAATGTCCTTTTTTATGTTCCACATGGTTAAATAAATTTTCTTTTTTGTACAGATGAAAGACCCTTGGGTCTGCACATTTGAAATGCATGCTGCTGACCTCATCCATGAACCTTCAAATAAAATCGCTTTGGGAACACGTTTACATGTACATTTCTATTTTTTGTCACATTTTCAGGTGTTTCCTTTTATTAAAAAAGTAAAAGTAAATTCTCTTCAATCTTGGATCATGTAGGAAAAACTATGTTGTTCATGGCTTCATGCATATCCAACTTTATCTGAACTCATTGATGAACTATTCAAATCAGCCAAAGCAAAACAATCTTTTCATCCTTTTGTTATATACAAAAACTAATATAAAATGTAAATAATTAAACCCCTTAATCAATTTGCAGCTCATTGCATTCTAGGTTAATCTCTTGAACTCAATTTTTTGTATTTGCAATATATTACCATAACCATTTTATAAATTTGTGTCCACAACTAGTGCGTATCATCCCTAAATTTTCCCTGTTTATGTGCTCTGAATCTTGAAACTGATCTTAAATTAATTAACTGAATCTCCATAAATTCCTTGATTTGTATGACGGAGAGGCTTTATTAGCTTAAATTATGTGAAACCTCTTTATATATAAATTGAATTATGGGATTTTAGAAGCTACATACTCCGATTCAATGACATATTAGGATGGCTTGGTGTATTTAATTGCATACAATATTTAAGAGCTGGTGTGTGTATCTCTGGTGGTAATTGTAGATTTAATCATCCAATTTACAATGGCCAAGTAAACCAACAGTTTGCAGGTAATCCATGATGTATTTTCCAAATATCAGGCTTTGGTTTTTCTTTTCTTCCAATTTTACCCTTTTACCTGATTTTCTGTTGTATGGAGTTTTCATTCAGAGTTACACTCCACATGATTACATTTTTTAATTCATAGTATAATCATCAAATTACTCATGGAAACTCATCAAGCAAAATACTATATATCTGCTTAAGGTCAATTATCAGAAAGATCTCTGCACTTTTGGATCACTCTTATCAATCAGATCGATACCATTCTTGAGGTATGGTTGAATTTTTTTAATGGGAGAAGATGATGATTGGGGATGCCAATGTGGTTGTCAATGGTGCAACTGTGAATCTTGGCTTGTGTGATATTGTTGGTAAACTTATGAAATCTTTATAGATAATTAAAAATCTATCAACTTTATAATATTTTTTATTAATTAATATATTAATGGTGAGAAATTAACATTCTCTGAACAGGACAAGAGGATTATAGCAAACTCGGGGAGTTAATAAATAAATTAATGTCTAAATGTGAGAAAATGACCATTTTACCCTTGCTATATAGATCTCCAGGATGATAAATAGTTCTTTGTAAAGTACCCTGGTGCAACTCCCATAACTAATGCTCAGGTAAAAATTATCAGATAAACTTTGTGAGATAATAAATAGCAATGTATTTTGAATGTAGTTTAAAAAGGAATCAATTTTTACTATTATATCACATTTTTGTTGTCATCTTTAAATCACCTATTTTGTATTGACAAGTCTTTCATATTTCAAATTTTTTGATGATTTTATCTTTGATGTTGTAGGTGCTTTCAATTCACCAATCTGTTTTATTGTTGAAAGTTTCTTGTTGTTTTGGAATAATTTCAATTGTTGGACTTTTATTTCTAGCTTGAGCCCTGATGTCCTTATTAGTGGTTGGATTGTGTTGAATTGAAATCTAACCCCGTAAAGCAGGGACACTTCCTTAGTTTATACGAAGTTAGATGCCAAATAAATTATAATATATGCTTTAATAATTAATATTCTATTTTTCATATTTAAAATTAGAACCAATGTTTTTCAGCTACTCAAAAAGTGTGTATTTCAGTTTAGTCCCAAAAAAACTTTAAATTTGAAAACATAAGTTCCCAATACGGGTTTTTGGTAAATGGTACGAAACTTGCTTACTATAAAGATGTAAATAATGAGAACTTATTATTACTAGATGATAACTGAGGATAATAATTAAATATAAAGTTAACAATCACTAGTGTGGCATATGTGTAAGTTCATGAATTCGTCACACTTAAAGACAGAATATACATGTATGTTGTATTGACGTTTTGCAAATTGAAAAGAGAAACGTAATGAGATTCACAAAACTCCACGTTTTCTCTTGGTTTTCAAAACTCAAAAAACGTGAGCATGATTTGATGAAATTTTAATGTTGTGAAGTGACATTTTAATCAATATCTATTTGGTTTTTTATAAATTGTATCATTACCTTATAATTATAAGCACGTACGAAAAACAAAAAAATGTACGATAAAATGACAATGATTATGACCCCTTGGTTTTCAAAACCTATCTAATATTTTCTTACCAAAAGGCATTTGACACGGTAATATCATGTGTGTTGAAAATATGTTTCTCTCCAAAAAAGGTTGAGGGTTCAATTTTAATGGTGGACAAATGTATGATTTAGGAGTAAGATTTTAAATATGTGCGAGTTAGCCACTTTCAAAGAAATTCTAATGTTTTCTTAATCTGAAACTTAATTGGTTTTATTCTAAACGAAGTCATTACATAGATAAAGACATGTAAGAAGAAGACATTTACATTTAAATTTGACTTTGAGAAGGCTTTTGTTAGCTTCAACTGGAGGTACCTAGATTCAGTCTTACAACAAATGGATTTTAGGGTTAACTTCCATACATAGATTCATGGATGCTTATTGTCAGCAAGGGTCTCAACGCTTATACATGGATCTGCAACTTCAAAATTATGTATGGAACGGGGGATAGACAAGGTGTCACACCCCCAAACTAGAATGACGGAAACATTCAGGGGTGGGTGACTTCATGTAGTACCACAATAGTTGAATATTGTAAAGAAAGTAACACAACCATCATATATATAACAAAAACTTACATTGTTGCGTAATACATGTTTCAAAAGAATATTACAAATATGATGATTTTAAATGTTTTAATAATAGACGCCTTAGCGTTCCTTCTCTAAAAGCTGGTGGTTACCTGTATTACTGATTCTCTGAGAAATACAAGTACTTTCGAAAAAGTGTCAACAATAAAGTTGGTGAGTTCATAAGTGTTTTTGTACTGAAAAATGTATGTCTTTTAGAAGAAAATAGGTGAATGTGGTTTCCGGAAAATTCAATATTTTCTACATATAGTTTGAAAAAGTCCCAAAAGTTGGAGGGCTTTAGTATCTTTCGTGCTCAAATGATGAAGGTGAATTTATACTCAAAATAATGTAAATACTGAATGTATTCATGAGTCTCGTAAATCAAACTTATTTTTATACTTTCGTGTGAGTTTTATAATCATGCTATTGACACAAACTGCCTGTAACAACGTTCTTCAGACATTATAGTGTTATGATATTTGTCACCCCAGACCTGCCAGTTTAACTGTAGCTAACAGTTTAGGTGCGGACTTGTCAATCCCGTATAGATCTATACGCAAGTATCACACTCTCCCTCCAAGAGATTATGGTTTATAATACAGGATTTGAAATGCATACTTGAGAGTACGTTGAAGCTGAATATCTCACAACACTTAGTATAAATAGATTTACGAAAAAGAAAGTTTATATTTCATTGCGGATGAAAGTATTTCATTTTTCACAATGTTTACATAAGAATGTAATGAATAACCCGCAAACTATACCCATTATAGTTTTTCCGAAAGTGTGTTCCATTTGGTGATAATAACTCGATGAAATACTAACTTTTTATGCAAAGTAAAATGTTGATATCGAGGCATTTTAATAATATAGATGTTGTATTTAAATCTATATAAAGCGATATGTTTTCTCGTATTACACTTGTATCCACCCCTAAAACATGAAAAAGACGTGAAAAGTAGGGGTATGAACTCACTTGTTCGGTTTGAAGAGAGTGAGACTAGAATCGAGCTGAACATCGACTGCGGAAAACTATGTCTTCGGATTCTTCGGGGATCTCAATAGCGTAAAACCTTCGTCGGGGTTCGGGTATGGAATAAAGGGTGTCGGGATAGTCTCTGGAGCTTAAGAGAGTGTAAGAGTGAGAGGAGAGTTGAGAAATGTGTGCCAAAACTCGGGGCTTATGCACTCTATTTATAGTGCTGAAACACCCCATAAGTTGGGCATACTCTAGGGGTACGCTGGGCGTACTTCGGAGTCGTCATCGCTTACGACTCGAGCCTAACTAGCCTGTTGGCCGATGGGACGCAACACTGCGTCTGAGTACGCTGGGCGTACACTAAATTACATGGGCGTAATTTGTATTTCCAACTTCTAAATTCCGTAACTTTCGCGTACGAGCTCTGTTTTTCATGTTTTTTATATCCACGCGTAGGTGAGACTATGCTCTACAACTTTCATTTAGACTCCGTCGGCTAGTTTTGAATTTATTTGTAATAGTATATTTTTAGTAGGCCGGGACTACTAAAGTCTGTTAAAAATCCATAACTTCTTTATCCGACGTCTGTTTTCGTCTGTCTTTTTACCATTGTACTCCTATTGTGGAGACCTTCAACTCTCGTTTAGGCTGCATTGGCTAAAAATCGTTCTATCTTTAATTCGAGTTTTTACATGTCTACCGCTGTAACGAAACTTAGAAAATTCGTAACTTCTTCATACGAAGTCCAATTTGGGCGTTCTTTTTATGCACGTTCACGGTTTAACGTAATCTACGACTTTCGT